ACAGTCAGATTACAGTCGGGTCACAATTCAGTCACAGTTCGGTCACAATTCAGTCGCAGTCTTCCGTTCCTGTCCTGTGGTCAGCTGTGGCACTACGCCTGGTAGATACGGGCCCAGACAGGACAGCAAGTCGCGGCGCAGCGTTAGGGAGCGACCAATAACAATAGGCGAGCGAATACGGTTCGATACCGAGACGCGACTCACAATAGACGTGAGGCGAAGAAAGACAAGGGACGACCGTTAATGAAGACTACTTCATGTCCATTAGCACCAGAAGGGACGATGGTAGTCCCAAATGAAAACGACGACCGTCGCGCCAGTGCTCCGCTAGGAAAAACAGACAGACTTGTGTCGTCAAACTGTCAAAATCGATAGGCACAGCGGGGACTCAAAGTTGCTATAGGAACTATAGCGCTATGGTGACGCTATAACGCCGCGTGCGTGACGGGGTGCTGTAAATTGTCCGTGCGGCTTGTGTCATAATCGGGCGCTGGCATTGGGACCATGAGGCTGGCAAAACGGAAGGTCAGGACTCAGGACACATGCCACTAGGTCACAGGTCGATTATCGATTGTAAGCGAGGTGTCATCTTCTGACACGTGTTCATGGGTAATGATTGACATGAAAGTAAAACAATTGATGGTTGGATAATAAAAAAACACATGAATATTTTTCTGCCGAATTATTACTGATGTTCCAGCAATTGACCTGAACAATTTGGCCACACTGACCAATTGACCTGACCTGGAACTTCCAGGTCAGGTCAATTATCACGAGGCATCGAAATTAGTAGGTGCAGAGGCTTTTAAATCACATCAAAGTATCACAAGCTGCAAGCAGCGGCTCATATTTGAAATAAGGTATCTGCTATGCCAGACATGACATTAGTATGCCATCACTGTGATAAATGTGACGCATTTCCTTATCTCAAACTAGTTAACTTTCCAAATAGCTGGACAAGTGATACGATCTTGATCGATCTGCAGCAAAATTCATTTGACTAGACATCTTTGTGGAATGATTCTTTGGTTAGTTTGCTCCACAACGTGCACTGCCTTCACTGAAATTAATTGCAATTCTCAGCTTCTTCCCTGTCGAGCTTAACGTCATGCTGTGTCAACATACGACCGGGGGTATATGATATCATGCGGCTCATGCCACTCATTCGTGAATCATTATCTGTCGCTGATGGTCATAAATGCCATGAGGTGCCATTAAGTCCTTTTGATGATGTCGACCGAGCACTATGTACGATGCAGCCTGACCCACTAACTATGGCTTGCCGCATTACTTGTCTATTTGGCATACTGACTGATCGTTATCAGAGTTATCAGACAAATGGCGCCCCGTGCATCCGTCTTTGGGCAGCATATGGCGCCTATCGTGGCATAATTATGTGAAAATGACGACAGCAGATGCTTTTTTATGCAGCCCAAATCTCTCTCCCTCTCCCTCTCTCTCTCTCTCTCTCTCTCTCTCTCTCTCTCTCTCTCTCTCTCTCTCTCTCTCTCTCTCTCTCTCCCTCTCTCTCTCTCTCTCTCTCTCTCTCTCTCTCTCTCTCTCTATCTCTCTCTTCTCATTCCCTTCCTGCCACTCCCAGTCCGTTCTTATCAATGACTGCACGTTTGGTCTATAATCACCCAAATCCTTGATTGTAAGGACTTCATCCGGGACTGAGCCTGATTAGCCCAATCCCCCCGGTAGTGAACCCGGTCGGGTCGGATCAGGTCGAGGCTTGGTGGGTCTGACAGATAAAGGCCGAAGTCTGCCTGCTTGGTGCTTTGGTACGTCCAAAGCTGCATACAATGTACTCGTATACCGCAAGAGCCAGGTTATTTCCGCAAGGTAGTGAAAATGAAGAGTCGAAGATAAGATCGAAGATAAGGTTGACTTGAGAACCCCCTGAAAATTTCCATAACGTGTGGCATCTCTAGCAAGTCGACCTGCTGCTGAGTCTTCATGTTCAGCTGTGACGCTCAATCGCAGTGCATAAGCTGAGCTGCGAATTCAAACTGCAAATGGCATACCTTTTACCGAAAGTCAAGATGCTGATAAACAGCAGTCAATTGTCGGTGCTCAGACATCCGAGCGTTATGCTGGCATTATAGCATTATGCTATCTCGATAGTTTCAGATGGCATTCCATTTTCGTGCTTGTTAGAAGTCAAATACAATATTTATCTAGCTGTTTTGTAAGTATGAGATTACTTCTGGATATTTGCCGACTCGGGCGAGCTATCTAACATAACTGAGCCGACATGATTGCTGCTGGCATTTGCTGTCCTGAATAAATGAGTGGAATGCCATGTCAGAATGCAGTAGGTATTATCGCATCAGAGAACACATTGTTGGAGTGTGAATCAGCCTGACACGTTAGACGATCAGGGATTGACTGGATAATCTCTGGTGATATAGATATGACCTATGGAGATACATAGTTTGCTTGAAAGCAATAAGCGTAGGTGATTGAAGCACTGGATTACAAGATGTCTTGCCATCGGCTCGATTGATTAAATCTCTGTATCGCGCTGAGTTTGACCTACTCCTAGCTAGTTTTTAGTTCGGTAAAGAACATGTGTTTGGATTATAAGCGAGAATATCCGAGTGATGCAAACAGGTGTATCGCTGCCACAAGCAAGTTAGAACAAAAGCGCAGCGTCTCCAAGCGCACAGAGTACCTACACTAACACTTCCTAACAAACTATGCCCTCCTGCTGGCCGGTGCCTTTGGATTGTTATCGTGAAAAATAGAACATAAAAACATCACATTACACACGATAGTGAGCTTGACAATGATATCACCCACCATCAAGCCTTCAAAGGAAGCATCTTATGTTCACCTAAATGCATTACCGAGGCAGACCGACAGAAGCTTACTCAGCACTGGGGTTAGAAATAGTCAGACTGTCTTCGACGTAGCTTCATCGAACGTAAGTTTTTTTATAGAACTTACTTTGCCCTGTTCAGCGTTCAGTGCCCGCCTGTCCGTCTCAACATGCTCAGTCCATCTCAGCATTAAGCTACGTTATGCATGCCATGTACATAGCTTCCGCCTGACATTTGAACACATTCATCTTGTGTTATCAAACTTTCCACACATTGACTAAGTTTTACGACACATAAGAAACTATAGTAGGAAGTTCATCACTGCCTCCATTCCAAATTTAGCGTAGCACAAAGGAAAAGTACCTAATTGTATTCAGTTCACAATGACCCCGAGTGAGCTCGTTGAGAGTGAGCATAATGTTATAAAATAAAAGCGTACATTTCAGGTGTCAGCAATTGGGGAAGCATCGACATGGGATTGTACATAATATGCGTAGTTGACTTTGAAACATATCACAGGCTGGTAATCGAAATTAACATCCAGCACATCAGGGAGACCTTGCTGCCCATGCAATAGCATTACGACCGAAGACAGTAGACACTGGTTCCACATTTCAACCATATATGCATAAATTCACCATACTTCATAACCAGGAGCCATGGAACGGTCACAAAGAGCACGCAGCTGCTCACGCACGGCTGACAGCGTCTCTGGGAAGCGGGACCATCACGGCTGGGTAGGCCCGTCATATTCAGCTGACACTACCTGGACACGGCAGACGAGGCCGCTAAATTATTCACGGGGCCGCTGCCGGCACAGGGCGGTGCCGGCAGCGGGACAGAGTGGATAGAGGGAGGGAGGACTGGGAGGAGGATGGCAGAAAAGGAAGACGGTAGAAGGCCTGAGTAGAAGAGCGGAAAGAGGGAGAGAGAGAGAGAGAGAGAGAGAGAGAGAGAGAGAGAGAGAGAGAGAGAGAGAGAGAGAGAGAGAGAGAGAGAGAGAGAGACAAAAGAGGGAAGAGAGGAGGAAAAGGAGCGATAAGGGCAGACAGGCAAGTGGAGAGAGAAAAGATAACAACCCTTACCTACTTTTTATTTAAATTTGTGTGATGTCATAACTTCCATGAGTTCCCTCTAACCATTCCTCTCTCATCTCGTCCAAAATCAGTGCCGTCTAACATGAGTATGAGACAAATGACATGCCGCTACATGCCGTAGTAGCGTTAAATGCTGGCGGCGCCAAATTTATCATGCTAATGCGAGACCTCCATGGATTGTTAGCACCATTTACCAGACATTTGTCAGAAATTAAAGTTCCATGTGAAATTCCCGTCGGCTTCACTTTATCATCTCAAATGTAGCCATATCTACATACGGCCATGGTTTCAAGACAGATAGGCTAGAGTGCACAGGACTGTATGCATGTGCTTGAATGTGCAGCAGCCTGCAACTGTATTGTATATGCTGAACGCTGATCCTCCACAAGAGGATAAACAACATTGACATTTTGTAATGACGGTGGTTGGCCACGCAAGGTATTGTGCAGTCGTTTCTGAGCTGCAGTTGGCACCACAGCGATTAACCGTTCCACTCTGGCAGAGCGAGAAAAGTAAATGGAGGGAGAAGAGCAAGGCGCTAACCATTAACGACCACAACGGTCGTAGCGACTATCTCACAAACCATACACGTCGCATAAATGAAGTTTTAACTGTCATATAAGCATTTCAAGAAAACACGTGGCTAATTTATCACATTTTCTGCATAACTACAGCCGGAATGTGTACAGCTGTTTGCTGTAACGCTGGGCGTGTCCTGAGGGCTATACTTTGTGAGCATGTATGGCTTCTTGGAAGGTTCGGTAAACACTGACATCTTTCATTTATAATGACACTTGTTGCTGTAACGATCATGGCAGCATTAATTACTGCGGTGGATGATATCAAATAGTTATAACGTCCACCAGTGGGTCATGATAATGATCCCTACAATTAACATAGATCGTGAATGTGTGACACAGCGGCCACCGATTTTTCGTGATGTACAAACCTCTCTGGTCGCTGGTAAGATGCTCAAAAGTCACCCGCCTCTGACTGGTAGTGGTTCTCAACCCACCAGGCCTCTGACTGGTAGTGGTCCTCAACCCACCAGGCCTCTGACCAGTGGTTCTCAACTCACCTGCCCCCGGTGCGCGCTCCTGCTCGACTCCCGGCTCCACCGCCCTGCCGTTGGGCTTTCCTCCAGGTCCGGCGCTGCCAGGAGCGGCGATCACGCCGTCTTTGCTGGCGTTACAGCCCATGCTGGCGGCCGGCCATCCAGCCAGGTGGGCAGGTATCTGCCCGGTCAGGGCCAGGGGCAGGGTTAGGGTCAGGGTTGGGGTCAAGATCTGCTTCAGTGTCAGGGTCAGGGGCAGAGAAGAGCGGGATTACTTGTAAACAGGGGTAGCGCCTGATATTAGGGAGGGGTCACTTCTACCGCTGGTGATCGAATTGCAAGTTTATGATGACAGCAAATTAATGACAGTTATAAGTAGAGCGTTATCACATTTTATATAAGCATCCAATATCCAAGAAGCTGGACGGGTGTTGGCCTGCGTGTTTGGTTCCTATGCGTCGGGCTCATGTCGTGGCAATTACTTTTTTTTTAAATGTTTTACTTGTACATACATGCTTATGGATATTGATGTGGAAATCTATCACAAACGCAATCTAAATAACTCAAAGCTTGGGTCATTACCACGTAATATTCTGACCTACTGCAATCAGCTTTGTGAGGTTGATCACTCAAAGGGGCCATGCGTCGGTCAAAATTAATGAACTACTGATAATGTGCTGTGTGCAATTTGAATACGGATTTGGAAAATGGCGAAATTAGGTACAAGTTCAATATAGTGAAGCTGTATGTGGTTTTTATGCTGCTAAATTTGAGTCTGCTGCTATGTCCCTTTTGAACTTCAACAACAACAACCTAATCAGCCTTCTTTTAGGTTGAAACTTGAACAATGAGATAATAAGTTTCCATCAAGTAATGAGGTCGTAAGCTGCTGTTTAGGTTGGTATTGAACTTCAGTCGATTTCTTCGCCTTTAAAACGTTCATTAAGCCTCCTCTTCAGTCGGTTGTTGACTGCGCAAGCTGCGCCAACGGCGGTGATTAGGGCCCCTAACGAGAGCTACAGCTTCGAGCAGCGACCTCAGCACCCACAGATCAATAGCCCTTACAGCGTTAAACACCGACTGAACAAGCTCGTAAGCCGCGCTAACTGCACGCAGACTAAAAGCCCGACATGGTCGAACCGGTGGCCCGGGTCATCAATTCAGGGTCAACAAGGCACCTGAATTGATGACGCCTGAATTCAGGGTCAACAAGGCCCCTGGGCGCTCAGGGAAACGAGTCCAACGCTGTATCCAGGACCGAGGGATATTCTTAGTGAAATATCATTGGCGGTGAAGAAGAGTGACATTGCAAAAACAAAAACAAAATAAGTAGACACGGAGGCTAATGCATAGCTCCAGAAGGCAATGCCATTCCAACAGATTTTTACAAAAGTTAGCTCCTTCTATGACTGAAGGCCATTTTGTTCGTTCTAAACGGCTGTGCTAATGCACCGTACTATTTTCAGAAAACGGCAGGCAGGTGGAAAAGAGTGTCTGTCTTGCTTGGTGAAGTATCTGTCTGCTCCATTCATAACTAACCTCAATAAATAACAGTGCAGTTGTTATTCGTGGAAAACGTGCTGGTTGAAAATAAAGAAATAATGACTGAAATAAAATATTCCTGCCATCTATCCACCATTGCTCATCGGACAAAAAAAAAACGGAAAGAAATAGCGTTCCAAAAACTCAATTACAAAGTACCATATCCTTAAGATCAATGTAAATCTGTTATGATTCACTGGCAAGGAAATTACAGCTTGGCATCAATTCAACTAGGCTTCTCGTCCGAAAATCGTGTATCAAACTGCTGAGTGCTGGGTACACATAAATTTTAGCAGCCAGTGGCCCAGTTGGCGTGAGTTAGCGCCATTATTTCAACGAGTTGAGATTAGGTGGCCCAAAGAAAAGCGTGATGATCATTATTGACGCAGGCACGGCATTTCGTAACTCTGCTGGGAAAACGCTGGCCAGTCGAATTTGACAAGCTACAGAATCGTTCACGATGAGGAAAAGATACAAACAACACGATTAAGGCTAGCACATTTGGAAGGAAAAGTTACAAGCAACGGCTGCATCACATGTTACGTAGCATTTCGGGTATTGCTAGAGAAACATGAGTAAGTAAATGCGTATAACAAGCGCACTTTGTGATTATCTTGGTAATGCACTCGGTTTGTGATACGCAATTACTTTGTGCGTTTATCTGTGATAAATGTGACCTGTTTGTTATTTCTCACCGGATATAGCTTCCTCCTCCAGATGAAATGAGATGGTTTCCTCACAATGCACAAATATTATGATTGGTCACCACTTAGATGGTCACAGCTGAGCCTCTCTGAACACTGCTGAGCCGCTCTGTACTCCCTGAGCCGCTCTCCGTCCCCACTGAGCCGCTCTCCTTCCCCACTGAGCCTCCCCGGCTCCCCTGAGCGTCTCGTTCCGCGGTCCCCCGGGCGGCCGTCGCTGCTGTCCCGTCCCGGCACGGCCGCACACTGTGTCTCACTGCACGCTGCCGGCGGCGTCCTGTGTGCTGCACGCGACCGACAGTCCGACCGCCGCCGCCGCCGCCGCCGCCGCCGCCTGACGGTACGTCACCGGGCGCGGTGCGTGCCGCCGTCACCTGGCGGGGGCGGGGGCGGGGGCGGGGGCGGCGGATCAGTGGCCGCCCGTCCGGACCGCCCGACACGCCCGTGACCGATCTGCCGTACCGAGGACAGGCTGGAATGTTTGATGGTTTCTTGGTATGGTGCCTAGAGTGTATGTGCATGGTGCAATAGTGCACGTTCTGGGGTATTGATCCGGCACTGCTGCAAGGGCTGCGGAATGTGGAGTTTTCCGTCTGCTTTTAGTGGACGTTCTACCTACGTCATTATGTGGATCGATTGGACGGTGCCCCAAGGGACCTGCGCTGTATGCAATTGGGAGTCTATTGAGGACTGATTCGTCATGTTTATTGACGAATAATAGACGTAATTGACATAGTTCCGATACACAACACAGTCACACTGGCGCACCAGCACGCATTAACAGCAATAATGAGCAAATGCACTCAACGCAAACACTCTGAAAGGAGTGTTCGAGCAGCCATGCCCTATCAACTAATTCGATCGCTGTTTGTTTTAACACAACAATGGTGTGCCTTTCCCAAAAGGATGAGGTGGAACCTCGTGGATAATGTGTCGTTGAAACGGCATGCGGCTCAGGCCGATGTTGATGATCAAGACCTTTCAATGAGTATAGGGACATTAACCGAAAACTTCCGCAAGTATATCATTATGTGAATTCTATAATTGTAGGTATAGGCTAGCATCATGTCTAGCAGTGATTGCAGTGTTTTCGACAACCCTCAATTTACCATCCACCGACTAACACTGAAGACTGGTATTACGCTGAGCGTTCCTACGACGAGTGACATGCTACTGATCTTTCATTATTACATCAAAACCCCGACTCATCATTACTTTACTTCTTCCCGAGCTGTTTGTTTAGCCTCCAAGGCATGAGCGAACAAATACACTAATAAGGTGCAGGTGTGTAGCGCACATAGATTGCACGTGCATTATAGATGGCTGGAATGATATGTCAAATATACGACGGGTGCGAAATTTGCAAGGCAGATTCTGGATGATGAAGACTCAGACCTCCATGCATCAAACGAAATGGAGGAAAATATAAGCAATTCTTAAAATATGAAATGCTTGTAAAAAGTCATGTAAATATCAATAGCTTGTTATGATAGATACATGTCAACACTACGTAACAACCAATATGTAAATACGAGAAAATGCTTTGGGCAGTGCTGTTTAGTAGGACTAGGACCATCATGAGAAATGCTAACAATTATTGTATTTCCACTTGTTACGAGTACAAAAACAGCGTGATCGCCTGCTGTGCCCTGACCACCAAAGCCGAGCTGGCATGTTATACCAAGTAGGAGAAGCGTTTCAATCCAGGTTCAATCTATACTCCATCTGCTGGCCGCTCCGATTCATCGAACACCGACGTGCCTCGCATTGCTATGGTGATATCACTGATATATGGCTCCAGCCAGGTTGCATGGATGCTTCGAGATTCAGTTGATGTTTTGTGTTTTCATAGCATTTTATGACTACCAGAAAATGTTCTTTCTGTTTATCAAAACTGAAATTAGAGATATGTAAACGTGAGAAAACATCCTATGAGTAACGGAATGTGAAATACATATATTTTCGTAAGTACTGGTTTTCTGAAAATGTTTTCTAGGACAATCATCTGAACCGTACATTTTGCCCGCAGGCGGCTACTCCGCAGTCATTATTTCGCCATCATATCATCCTGATGAGGTTGTTCCCCCACTCTCCCCACCTCTCTCTCTCTCTCTCTCTCTCTCTCTCTCTCTCTCTCTCTCTCCCTCTCTCCCTGCGATATGCCCAGGGGATGGCCCGCCCGGCTCCAGACGCCCTCATCAGCCCCTCCTAGCACGGTCAATCAGCTGTAAGACCGGCCGAGTAGGCCGGCTCAGCGTAAGGTCTCCGGGGACGGGGCGGGGCGGTGGGGAGAGGCGCCTGATCTCTCCATTACACCCCCCCCCCCGGCCCGAGACGGACGCCAGCTCAGGTCAGATGGGCATCCGAAGAGTCGAGCAAGGCGCCGTTTGAGGTGAGGGCAAGTGCTGGGCGAGAAACTAGAGTGGCATTGCTGGAAGAGAGCTCTGTAGCGAGTCAGGAAACTCAGGTTCGCAGACGATGAAATGAAATGGCGAGAGTCGTGCCGGTAGGAGCCCCCCGCGACGCTGATGGAATTAACGCGGCCCGCTGATACTTGGCAAACATCGTGCGAGCTCCGTGTCAGTTCGTGGTAATATGAACTGTCAGGGTCGAGTTCTCTTCCGAAATTAAGTCCTGGACATTGAACCGAAACGTAGCTATACGAAAAGGTGTCTCCATTTTAAGCGCATGGTGCCTTGCTTTATATCAGAGCCCATGTGGTCACAAAAAAATGTGGGTAGCTGAAATTACCGGCCAGACTTAATCGGCACCTTCCAATTATGAAAGTATCTATTTTGATCACCTGCCGCCCCACCTCGGAAGTCTCCAGGCTAGCCGAAGGTTGGCCGTCACAAACTGCGCCTGAAACATACTGTGCCGCAAGACTCACAGTTACAGTCGTTTCCGCGAGATATCAGCGTATGCGTTGCGCCTGTTGCATGCTGTGCCGCATGACCTACGCAGTTCCTAACCCAACCGCTAGATATCAGACACGCACGACGCCTGATGCATGCTGTGCCGCATGACTCATGTAGTTTCTATCACAGCCGCTAGATGTCAGGCACGCATGACGCCTGATGCATGCTGTGCCGCATGACTCATGCAGTTCCTATCACAGCCGCTAGATGTCAGGCCCGCATGACGCCTGATGTATGCTGTGCCGCATGACTCATGTAGTTCCTATCACGACCGCTAGATGTCAGGCACGCATGACGCCTGATTTATGCTGTGCCGCAAGACTCGAACCTAGTTCTTATCCCAGCCGCTAGATGTCGGGCGCGTATTACGCCTGCTTCCCTGCTGTGCCGCAAGACTCTAACCTAGTTCTTATCCCAGCCGCTAGATGTCGGGCGCGTATTACGCCTGGTTCCCTGCTGTGCCGCAAGACTCGCGCAGTGCCCGTTTCAGCTGCCAGGCCTGTGGGCTGTGATGCATCGCCCGCGCAATATCTCCAATCTAGGACAATATTATCGACCATTTTGATAAATACACCGCTGTTATATTAATTGCGGCTTGCAAGCATTGAGTGGCTGCTGACCCAGAGAATGGAAAACGGAAAAAGGATTTGTTTGGGCTGCACGTGCAATAGGAAGTAGGTATAATATTTTCTTAACTGATTTCCTTTCAGTCATCGTCTACGACCTGTGTCCTGGATCATTGTCAATTTAAAAAAGTTACCAGTCTTTTTTATGACTAGCTACCCTTTCCAATTAGTACCTATCGTATCGACTGACGGGAGCAATGCAGCGCGCCGTCCGGCCATCCATCATGGGTTGTTTCTCGTGCCGAAAATCGACATGTAGCAGGTGCGGCTGTTTGCTCTTGGCAAACATACACAGCATTAGCCGCCACGGTCGCTGGGGCGACGGCGGTGACGGCGCCGGTGGAAGCCGCAGAGACTCGCGCCGCTGGGTCGATGGCCGCGGTCCCATTGTCAGTGGTCCGTCCGGGGTCTGTACCGGCGGCCAGATACGCCCCTGGACACTGTCTACCGTACGACACGGATTGATGTGCGGCCGTGAGCAGCGAGCTTCACTATACAGTATACTGTATGGGTAGCGTAAGTGAGGCGGCACGAGCCGCGGTGCAGGACGGTGAATGGAACTGCGGGAGGCCTGGGAACTTTGTCTATTGGCTACACACGTGCCCCTTGTTACTGGCGAAATGAGTTATGGCGCTCGGGACACGAGGCACCATATGTTGGCAATCGATTCCCTTCTTATGAATGTTGGAAATAAATTAGGCGGTTGTGGTCACTTTTAAAATCAGCTAAAAAGGGCAGCGTAAAACTATTATTTTCTTTCTGCAAAAAAAAAGAATATATTATCCGCATTGTTACTGCTTCTTGCTAGAAACATGCCGTAAAAACAAAGGATTACGTATCTGTTTATTCGGTTACGTTTTGAAGTTGGTTTTTTCATAATACGCCAAAATTGATTGACTGCATTGCTCCAGACCGTTCCAACGTATTGGTGAAGTTTGTTCAACCAAAGCGGTAAAAGTTGGCGGCAGCTCATCGCCCAGCGTCCGTTCCAGCTGGCTGTCGTGCAAGAAGTATCTAAAAAGAGCTGCTGTCCTGAGAGTCCCACGGCCGGCCTGCACGGCAGATTAAAATGCATAGCGCCAGGCCGCGGCATAATTGGTGAGATTGCTTCCCACGAACTGGGCCATCCATCAGTGGCGGGGCACAGCCGCGGCCGCAGCTGCTATATATCCCTGGGAGGGAAGCCAGGGGAGCAGCCGGGAATTTCGTCAGGAGGAGCAAAAATCACTGACGCCATACCTGTCTGAAGAAATTAAATCGTTAGTTATGTATACCCACCGATATGTACCAATCGATCATTTAAAGTGCGACAGCCTGCCTTACGTAAGCACTAAGCAGTATTACTGTTAACAGTTCTTGTAGTGTGTTTTCCTTATTTGATCGAGCTAAAATCAACACCATTGGGAAAGTTTATAAAGAGGAAACGTTAAAACCTAATGTGCGAACGAATGGTTAAAATTTGCAAATATCAAACAATCCATAATGTTCCAAAGACCGATACGCTATGCAACCACCAGTAGCGCCCTATATTTCAGCGTATGGTGATGGCATATGCCGGGTTATACAAGTTAATGAACATTTACTTTTAATGTCATGCAGCGTTGAAACATTGACATACGAGTACGTAGGTATAACGTGACGTTTTCCGTGAAGTCAAATGTTTGACCTTTGACCTTTGATTATTTTGAGTATGTGTTCTAACTTGTAAGTCTTTCCAACAACATACCTACACCTCTCTGAGCCGTAGAATTTACAAGTCTGTAAATTCTTGGTCTTCGAGTTCCTCGGTGCCGACCGTGCGGCCAAACACTAGCCTGCATCGGTAGACTAACCCGCCGGACACGCATGTGATACGGTGCAGCATACCAAGGTGCAGCGATATGTTCAGCTGGGCACGGCAAACGCGCGATGTGATGCACTGGCACTGCTCAGGGTACCTACCGCTTACAACTAACTACTATGAACGTCAAACCCCTTGAGATCCCACTTTTTTGCGATAATTTTTAAATGCGTCAACTTTCGTTGACAATACTCTGGCAATGTATGTTTCAGAACCTGCCGAAACTTTTATTACTAAGGTATTTTGACGGCAAACGATTATGGAAGGTACTTCTCATTCACTCGTAATGTTAAGGTCAATTCAGGCCCGGGCAGAGGCTTGCGCTCGGCCACACTCGAGACCCGCCACCAGCGCCATCTGCTCTAAATGCCATCTACCAGCGCCCGCTACCGCTACCAGCTACCGCCCACCATCAAGCCTGAATGGAGCGAGAGACGCGAGTGACCGGTCGCCGAGCAAGGAGCGCCGGAGGGGTAGGGCGGAGCTTAGCGCTGACGTCATTACGTGGCTCCGCCCCATGAGCGCATAGCCTCTACCCAAACAGCAGATTCGTTCCGTGAAATTTAACATTACGAGTGAATAAGAAGTACCTTTAATAATCGTTTGGCGTCAAAATACCATAGTAATAAAAGTTTCGGCAGGTTGTGAAACACACATTGCCAGAATATTGTCAACGAGAGTAGACGCATTTAAAAATTATCGCAAAAAAGTGGGGTCTCAAGGGGTTTGACGTCCATAGTAGGGAAAGGGGAAGATAGCGATGACTGTGTAGTTTTGTCTGCGGATGATCATTTTGAAACACAATGCATCACCTGCATGGTATGTTAGAAACCAGAAAGTTAGACATCCAATCAGCGTTCTCGATCCAGAGCCTCCCGTCCCGACCTAATGTCTTCGGGCGACAAACGTCAATGCTATCAGGATTGCATTCTGCCTCGTCTCCTACCCCGTACCCATCACATGCCATGTCACCTCTCGCGCTCTGCCGGTGAGATTCGGTCTCGGTGTGGCGTGCCGCTGTATTTCTCCTTCTGTGGCGGTCTCCCACCAGCGGCGACGGCTCCGACGCCCGGCTGACGAGCGGCCGACAAACGGTCGACGTTATTGGACAAGTCGGCGGCAGCTGGCCGCGGTCGGGCGCCCCCACTGTTTGCAGAGTGGTCGCCGTGATGAGGTGGAGGGTCACGGTGACCCGCCAGGTTCGGTGCGGGGCCTTGTTATACGGGAAGGTCATGGAGAATGAACTGTCAATCAGCCGGCAGTCGAGTTCGGTAACGTGAGAACTATGGACTACGGAGGAATGCTTCGAATTCGATAGACTTTGATAGTGGAAGTGGAAAGTACAGGCGAGGTATTATTGAAACAGTTGTCGGACTACGACTAAACCAGTGATTGTGGTTTATCAGCAAGTGGCCAATATTTAGTTTATAACGGTGCAGAATTCAATAATTTGTCTTTGTTACAAAACATTAAAAAAATTAACAACTCGCTGTTCCATTTGTTATAAAAGTTCCTCAATTCCTGATCACTATTTTATAGCCTTCAAACGGTCGAAATACATTTATTCGAAATTCGAACAAAGGCAATATATTTTACGGGAAAAGACAAATGGGCATGCGACACTAGACGTGAAAATTGCCCAGAAAGCGACTTATATTGGAGCCTTGTCGCCCCGTTTGCGAATGGCGACAACTTTTTAAAGGCTGACAACGATAAATGACGCCATTGTCGCTGTCGAACTCAATGTTGGCGATAGAAAACGATAATACTGTGTGTCAACGGACGTGGCAACTGCCATTTTAGTTACACCAACTAGCGCGAGTAGTTGAAAACAAAACTTTTATATGACGATGCTGCGGCGATCAGAAAATTTCAAGCAAGGCTGGTTAGAGTGGTTACTGGTTATCGTCCAGAACATTTCGATTGTTGCTTTTCGGATTAAACTAACATGAGCTGCATGTGTCTTGTTCAGTGTGGTCCTACGTGGTGACGGATAGTCCAGCAACTTAACCCTTTTCCTGGCGGGGGGGGGCCTTTAAGGCCCCCCTCCCCTTCAGGTTTTTCTTGTGCCATTGCCAAACGCCGCAAGACTGAAAGCTCATACTCGGTGACTTTTTCTAAACATTCATTGCGCACATTTTGACAAAAAAAGTTGCCGGGTCAGGTCAGGTCAGGTCACCAGAGGCGGTTTGGTGACCCCACCTCAGAAAAGTTTGCAATCACGCCAGAGCTAGAGTTTTTGACCGATCAATTTCTTCTCTTCAGGTTTTAGTTAGGGTACCAGTATGTGCAATTTGTATATCTCAGAATTTTCATATCTGTGACCTGAGGTCAGGCCAGACTCGTGACCTTTACATTGCAAGCCTATGGGAAAATATTGAAACGCCTCCTGCTTCGTGTAAACGAGTCAAAACCACCCAATTCTCTCAGTATTATGGAAGATTATCTCATCGGTGATGATCCTGGTGCCGCTAATTGACAGGGGCACCGGCAAAGGTCATCTGAGGTCATGTGACGTCATAAATCGTTATTCTGTCAATAAATCACGACATGATGGTGCTGAAGACTTGTAAGTGGTACCAAACTGCCCGCCTGGTCAAGGCACGTCGTTTGGTATGCAGCATGTGCATGACCATACCCCACAACCTCATTGATGAATGACGTGACCTTGACCTCAGGTCAAATTTCAAATTGACCTGTGAAGGTCATCACATACTTATTTCGCATCGCCTCGGCGAGAGCAACAAAAAATGTATTGGTTTTATGTCTCTATGTTTCTTAGTTTAAAAGTTATATAGGTAACTAATTCCAAAACATTTTATCGTTGATGACCTCTGATGACCTCAATATTGACCTGACCTGAAAATGTTTTATGTAAAAGTTGTAGATCTTTAAACGACCTATCAAAAGCCGTTTGCCGTTTGTCGCTGCGATGTGTAGTTTTTTATATCTGAAGGGGGGCCGAATCGGCCCCCCCCCCCCCGCCAGTTTCTTGTCCCGGCGGAGCCCGCCAGGAATTAGATTAAAAGCGAACATACCAGTCCAGTCCAAAAGACTAGCACACTTACCCAACCCACTAGCGTTTCGTCGACCGACAGTCTCTGGTGGGCCAGCATAGCAGCCTCTAGCAGGCCGGCATACCAGCCCCTCATGGACGGACAGCGCTGTCCGATTTCGGGCCCGGAGCCGCACCTAAGCCCCGCCGAGCGCGGCGATCGAGGTCAGGTGTAATGGCCCTCTCATGGGTCGTACTATCGCCCTGCAGCTATACTGGGATGGACGCAGCAGCGCCAGTCCCGTGCGGTCTGGTTTGCTGGACCAGGAATTGTGCGAGTTTGGATCAACTGATGGCTAAATACTTGGCATTTGTGCAGAGGAAATCAAAGCGTATCTACGAGTACACAGGAGAGGCTTTATGACATTGGAACATCAATACATAAACTCAATGTGATAGGAGGGAAAAAGACAGATACAAATCCACTTTGGTACTAAGAGAGAGGGAAAGGGAGAGAGGGCGTGAGATTGAAAGTAGCGAGATGAGGACTGAGGAGCTTGCAGCTGTAGTGCGCCACAAAAAAGAAGAAGCAGACGTTCACTATAACTTCAAAGACCGGCCAAAGTCGAGCCAAGCAAAAGTTTCATGAATATTTAATATTGCCTTGCAACTTTGCATCGTCATCTTCCTTTGAAACACAATGGCCATAAACCTGCAACTCCTCGAGCTGGCACGAATTCCGCTCCAAAGTTATCCGGTACTATCCAATATCCATCCTCCCGGGCCAAGTGATATCTCCCTCTCCCGGCGTTTATCCCGATCTGTCGTATCATCCCCTCCCTCTGCTCCGACGCACTGCATTGAGCGGACGCAGCGCCCACCGGTGTCCCTCTAATGCATCTCTGAGCGCCGCCGGCGAGCGAACACGGTCTTCCACTCTGTCCAGGGACAGCCACCCTTCTCAGACAGATGATCAGCGGAGCTGCCGACTGACGCATCGCGCGCACATCGCCCACCGAGGCAGATTAATGGGTGTCACTCACAGAGCGGTATAGTTCAGACAGCGTCGGTTTAGTGAATGCGGAAGATAAGCCGGAAAAAAATGTTCAGTCACGTGTATAGGTACCAGTGCCCGAGGTGACTGGTTACGGCGCAATATTGGCTGTTTGATGTTTGAATTCAGTCGGTGCAGTTATGCTAACCAGGTTTTCATTCAGGAGAAGCGGTTCGAATGAATCCGGAGAAACGTTTGTGTTTTATCTTTGTACGTCCGCGATGCAATCTGCTGATCAGTTCAACGAAACACAATTTATATCAGTTATCCATATTTATTGTCATCGTTTCAAATCGAGGTTCCCGTGCAGTTTAAAGACACAACGCTATAGCGTACAGACAGACAGACTGTGACGTAGATGCCCGACCTCTGATTTACCAGGTAACACTTCGGTGTCACATTCCATAATTGGAACACAAAATAACGGCATACGAGCAATAAGACTCTCTCGGCGGATCTAAAAACGCCAAATGCGATAAGTTAGCGAACAGGAACAGGAAAAGCAAACTCCCGGCGCGGCGCGGCGCCGCACGCCAGCCCTAGCAGCGGCCGGTAAGACACCAAGCTCGCTCATCTAGGCGGCGTAGTGACCAACTACCGCACGCGCACGCAGTTTTGAACGCCATGATATGCGTTGCCATAGCAACGACACTGCTATTCTCTGCACGCCACGCCCTAGTTCGCCAGCCCAGAACGGCAGCTTTCGCAAGCGTCAAGCACCAACGCACGATTCTCTCGACTGAAGGTGAAACATACATTGTGCCTCCGATGATGACACAGAACACTATGCCACAATCAGTTACGATGGCACCGAGCTCCGACAGTCTCATCATATTCACTGCTACACTAACCGCGCTCGGATCCTTTCTTTACTCCATAGATCTTAAGCGTATTTTTTGACAGATACAACGACGAGATTTCGGCCGATACATATAAGATCTTGCCAATTTGCTACCATAATCAATATTTTTGTTTATCACCCAAAACACCCACCACCCAGTATGCCTCTCGATTCAACATTTAGGAATGCACTCACACAAGGCTGACCTGAGCGAAACCCGTTCACTCTTTCTCCCGCTCGGCCAATGACTCGCTCTACCCGCTATACCTACTACCTCTCCATAAGACCGGCTCCTTACTCTTCCTCGAGTCCCTGTTTCGTGACTCGCGCTTCTACTCCATCTCAGCGCCGGATTCTACGATAGCCGACTGACCCCCCCCCCCCCTAGGCGCGATCACCCCCCCCCCCATCCATCTCCAACCATTACCACTCCGGGCACGCATATAATCTATATCCTCCTACCAGCCTCTCAATCTTCCGGGCCAGCCCAGCAGTACCTTCTCGACACCAAACCCCTCGTCGGAGCGGGCCCCGCCGACTCCGCACCTCGCGCTGGCCTGGCGCGACCCTCAGAAGCCGCAGTGATAGATCCGAAAGCCCACAGTCACGGCGCAGAGGCCGACGCGCGGTGTCTACTCTAGAGCCGCCCGGGCAGCGAAGGCGGTGGCCTCTCCAGAGCGCACGGTGCTACAGCTAGTGTTCCCAGTCGCTCTAATATCACCAGAACTCTTCTCTCGTGACGCAATTATCACCCAATTCAAACTGTCTCTGTAAACATCAGCACGGTGCGCTAATTGCCTCAAAGGGGTAGCTGTCATGCACTCTATCCCACCCAACAAATTAACGCACCATTCGCCAATGTCCTTTCAATCACAACCCTATCCTCCTTCCCCACATCATCGGCGTTTCTTCTTTCCCTTGCGTTTGGTGACTGTGACGGTCGGCCGTTCCTCGTCGCTGGTTTTATCGGCCCGCTCGCGGTCACTGGCCGAGCGCGAGCTGCTGTCTGCGGCCAGGTCGGGACACAGGATATCGTCGCCCCAGCCGGACTCCTGTTCCCGCTCGCGGTCATACACCTGCTCACCTCCCTCGAAGCCGCAGCTGGGCTGGCGCTCGAGGGGGCGCGGCGCCGGCGGCGGCGGCGACGAGTCATCGTCACTGGAGCGGGCCGTATGGAACTCGTGTGCCGCCGGAGAGTCCTCTCCGTCGCTCAGTGGCGGCGGTGACGGGTCGCGGGGCCGCGGGGGCAGCGGCGGCGGCGGCCGGCGGCGCGGCGGCGCCGGCTCCGGCCAGTCCTCAGCCGGGGGTGGCGGCGAGTCCGGCTCCTCGTCCTCCTCCCGAGGAACACCGGACGGCGGCGGCGGCAGCGGCTCGTCCAGCAGGTGCGGCTGCAGCGGCGGCGGCGGCGCGTCCCGCTCGTACTCGGAGAAGTCGAGCGGCGAGCCGCCCCGCTCCGGGGAGAGGCGCACGTCCACGCTGCTGCTGGAGGCCGAGCTGCGGGCCGAGTCGCTGCGACGGCGGCGCCGGCGGCGACTGCAGTCTGTGGGGGAGAGAGGGCGGTCAGTGGGATCAGGGATACAGCTTGGGGGACAGGTGCGTTCAGATGGAGACAAATGTGCAGTCAGCGAGAGGCAGTTGCACCCATAAAAGTAACAAAAATCTACAACAAAAATACAACAAAACATCAATCCCTCAATTTTCACCCTCCACACTACAACGCACCACACCAATTTTGCACATTACTCGCATCATAACACCGCAAACGGGCAGCCTGGCGCCTTTGGGAGCACGGGATGGCCCATATTCCGGCAGTCAATGTCCTACCGACCCAGCTGGCCCCGGCACCGAATAACCGCTAATGCCCCCGCGAGCGACCTTCCAATATCGGGCCGACTATTTATCGTACGGCGCACGGCGTGCGGTCAGGCCAGCCGGCCGGGAATACGGCCGACGCGCACTACGCTGGAGGCCGGCGTTGTGCTGCGCCAGAGCGCAGTAGGAGCCCTCGTTCCTCCCAACTAGGTGCGGCATAGTTACTTTTTTCCGATATTGGTGTTTACTTCATAGTTTTGTTTCCAATGATTGGTGATCTATAATTCCGTTTAGCTGTTATTTACAAACCTTTTAATGTCCATCCCACATGTGTGCGCAATGGGAGCCACCGTTTCTCTCCCCTGAACAGCTGATGTCGGCAGCCGGAGAAAGGACAGCACCAGCTGCACAGAGGTGCAGCAAACTTTACAGCACGACTCTACACAAATACCAATTTCCTGGCAGCAATGCACGTGAATTACAACATCTAAAATGAGAAAATACGCGCGCGGCTCGTGACGTTAAGTCGCTACACTCGCCGTCACGGGATGCCATTCGACGTGAGCTAACGCCGCGTTATACTGCAATTGACGGCGGTGAAATTTTTCCGCGTCAGCGAATACCATCGTCAGCCCGTCGTAGTGTGAGAAATTGCAATTCCACAATATCTCATATATGCAATCATTCATTATCCCAACGCCATTGCCGACCTCCCCTCTCTTCCTATCGCCACTTGTGGGGGGCCGGGCGGGTAGGGGAGGAGCGGCCGGCCCAGTGGAGCGGCGGCCACGTCAGACGCAGGGCTGCCAGCTGATTGGCCGGCTCAGAGGACTGCCGCCCGGGGCGACCGGGTCAGCGGTCGCTGACCTTGCCCGAGCCAGACGTCCAGTCTGCTCTGGTCTCGAATGGGTCGCGCGCGTGCAGTGATAAACGGCAGTGCAGTGCGCTCAAATACTTTCAAACTTGAACTACGACTACCTACCTCAATGCCACTACTCGTGGTGTCCTGTCATACTCAAGAGAGGATACTGCAGTGACACAAATAATCACAGAGGCCAAACCGACAGACAACTACCCAGGTAAGCCCGGCCTCGCAGTGGCATCACTTTTTTCCTTTCCATCATTTTCCGTGTTCGAATTATTCATTAATTCCTACATAGAAAAGCTGTGATTATTTGTGTCAGGTCCCTCGCTCCTCGGGACTTGCCCTATACTGCTCACAGTTTTCCTTCACAAAACATCGCTATATTTTCTCACACTGATCTCTCGTGCGATTTGCAATTGATCTTCAAGACAGCAATTGTGCGAGACGGCTCAACTATTCAATCTAAACGAATCGCTCGATTAATCGCCTGCTGTGGATTAATGATAAGACGCGCGTCTCTGAGCACATTATCGCTCAATATAATACTAACACAGATACGGCTGTGACCCGTCTGCTGATCGCCGCATCGAGACGTCAACAACTTCACCTGCTGCTTCGGCGCTCTAGCGGGTCATCAACCTCGCCTGCTGCATCGGCGCTCTAGCGGGTCATCAACCTCGCCTGCCTCGGCGTCTCAGCGGGTCACCAACCTCGCCTGCCTCGGCGCCTCAGCGGGTCATCAGACTCGCCTGCTTCGGCGCTTCAGCGGGTCATCAGACTCGCCTGCTTCAGCGCTTCAGCGGGTCATCAGCCTCGCCTGCTTCGGCGCTCAAGCGGGTCATCAACTTCGCCTGCTGCTTCGGCGCCTCAGCGGGTCATCAGACTCGCCTGCTTCGGCGCTTCAGCGGGTCATCAGACTCGCCTGCTTCAGCGCTTCAGCGGGTCATCAGCCTCGCCTGCTTCGGCGCTCAAGCGGGTCATCAACTTCGCCTGCTGCTTCGGCGCCTCAGCGGATCATCAGACTCGCCTGCTTCGGCGCTTCAGCGGGTCATCAGCCTCGCCTGCTTCGGCGCTCAAGCGGGTCATCAACTTCGCCTGCTGTTTCGGCGCTCTAGCGGGTCATCAACCTCGCCTGCTGCTTCGGCGCTCTAGCGGGTCATCAACCTCGCCTGCCTCGGCGCCTCAGCGGGTCACCAACCTCGCCTGCTTCGGCGCTTCAGCGGGTCATCAGCCTCGCCTGCTTCGGCGCTCAAGCGGGTCATCAACTTCACCTGCTGCTTCGGCGCTCTAGCGGGTCATCTACCTCGCCTGCTTCGGTGCTTCAGCGGATCAATACCTCGCCTGCTTCGGCGCTTCAGCGGGTCATCAGCCTCGCCTGCTTCGGCGTTCAAGCGGGTCATCAACTTCACCTGCTGCTTCGGCGCTCTAGCGGGTCATCAACCTCGCCTGCTGCATCGGCGCTCTAGCGGGTCATCAACCTCGCCTGCCTCGGCGTCTCAGCGGGTCACCAACCTCGCCTGCCTCGGCGCCTCAGCGGGTCATCAGACTCGCCTGCTTCGGCGCTTCAGCGGGTCATCAGCCTCACCTGCTTCGGCGCTTCAGTGGGCCACCTACCTCGCCTGCTTCGGCGCTTCAGCGGGTCATCAGCTTCGCCTGCTGCTTCGGTGCTTCAGCAGATCATCTACCTCGCCTGCTTCGGCGCTTCAGCTGGTCATCAACCTCGCCTGCTTCGGCGCTCAAGCGGGTCATCAATCTCGCCTGCTGCTTCGGCGCTCTAGCGGGTCACCAACCTCGCCTGCCTCGGCGCCTCAGCGGGTCATCAGACTCGCCTGCTTCAGCGCTTCAGCGGGTCTTCAGCCTCACCTGCTTCGGCGCTTCAGTGGGCCACCTACCTCGCGCTTCAGCGGGTCATCAGCTTCGCCTGCTGCTTCGGTGCTTCAGCAGGTCAACAACCTTGCCTGCCTCAGCGCTTCAGCAGGTCATCAACCCCGCCTGCTTCGGCGCTTCAGTGGGTCTTCAGCCTCACCTGCTTCGGCGCTTCAGTGGGCCACCTACCTCGCCTGCTTCGGCGCTTCAGCGGGTCATCAGCTTCGCCTGCTGCTTCGGTGCTTCAGCGGGCCATCAGCCTCGCCTGCTTCGGCGCTTCAGCGGGTCAACTACCTCGCCTGCTTCGGCGCTTCAGCGGGTCTTCAGCCTCACCTGCTTCGGCGCTTCAGCGGGTCACCAACCTCGCCTACTTCGGCGCTTCAGCAGGTCAACTACTTCGCCTGCTTCGGTGCTTCAGCGGGTCACCAATCTCGCCTGCTTCGACGCTTCAGCAGGTCATCAACCTCACCTGCTTCGGCGCTTCAGTGGGTCATCAACCTCTCCTGCTTCGGCGCTCTAGTGGGTCATCAGACTCGCCTGCTTCGGCGCTTCAGCGGGGCTTCAGCCTCACCTGCTTCGGCGCTTCAGCGGGTCATCAGCCTCGCCTGCTTCGGCGCTCAAGCGGGTCATCAACCTCGCCTGCTTCGGCGCTCAAGCGGGTCATCAACTTCGCCTGCTGCTTCGGCGCTCTAGCGGGTCATCAACCTCGCCTGCCTCGGCGCCTCAGCGGGTCATCAGACTCGCCTGCTTCGGCGCTTCAGCGGGTCTTCAGCCTCACCTGCTTCGGCGCTTCAGCGGGTCATCAGCCTCGCCTGCTTTGGCGCTCAAGCGGGTCATCAACCTCGCCTGCTTCGGCGCTCAAGCGGGTCATCAACTTCGCCTGCTGCTTCGGCGCTCTAGCGGGTCAACTACCTCGCCTGCTTCGGCGCTCTAGCGGGTCATCAGACTCGCCTGCTTCAGCGCTTCAGCTGGCCATCAACCTCGCCTGCTTCTGCGCTTCGGCGGGTCAACTACCTCGCCTGCTTCGGTGCTTCAGCGGGTCAATACCTCGCCTGCTTCAGCGCTTCTACAAGCCATCTGCTTCGATTCATCTTCAGCGAGGTTATAGGCACTTGTCTGTCGTAAGAAGCTTCCACCAAGATGGAGAAATTGAAGACAGCACGTTCAAACAGCAAACGGTCTTTCACGAGAATCAACAGAAACCTATTGAAGGTCATAGCTGAAGGAGCAGAACCTAGCCTGGTCGGAGACTGCTGGGTCGAGCTTCAAACTGCGTGGTCCGACGTTGAAGCCAAGCATAACGACTACGTCTCGTCAATGACGAGCGAGGCCGAAATGGAATATGAAGATGCCTGGATGGATGAAGTCTACGAAGTATACTCAACCACCAAGAAGGCGTACTTTGCTTTTACCTCTGGTTCAGCGAAGAACGTCAAAGAAGAAGCTGCAGTCAACAAAACCTACATCACACAGCCAGACATTCAGAAGTTGAAAATGCCACTATTTTCTGGATCACAAGATGATGTGATGTCATTCAATGATTTCCTGCACATGTACGATGACCTCGTGGGAAACAACGCAGCGTACAGCAACTCCGCCAAGCTGATGTATCTGAAGAGCTACCTTCGTGGAAACGCCTTAGATACAATCAAACATCTGTCAAACGATGAACAGAACTACGCACTTGCCAGGAAGTTCTTGACCGAAGAATACCTGGACACAGACATCATTGTAGAGGAACACATCAGGAAACTTCACAACCTCAAGTCGCCATCAGCAAAAGACTTCCCGGCGATACGAGCATTCTTCAACACGGCCCGCGCTTCAGTGTACGAGCTGAAAGCATTCGGCTACAACGCTCTTGAGGATGACACTCTGGGCAGCAAGATCGTCAGCTTCATGATCTGCGAGAAGCTCCCCACGAACTTCAAGCTGAAGTTGAGCAGCATTCTGCAGACTGACTTCCCCTCAACAAAGCAACTAATGGACAACTACAA